CTCTCTCTCGCTTTCTCTCTCTCTCTCTCACCTTCTCTCTCTCTCGCTCTCTCTCTCTCTCTCTCTCTCTCTCTCTCTCTCTCTCTCTCTCTGTGTCTCACTCTGCCTCTCTTTTACCCTCTGCCTCACTCGCTCACAGTTGCTCACAAGGTTAAGATCTTTAGTTGCAGCGTCGCGGTGTAGAATTGTAGACGTACTGCGCGCGAGCTAGCCACCCGCGTGGCAAAGCAGCGCGTTATCGTAATGAAGCTATACGCTCGCGTAATATAGGTCACTCACTAATGAATGCATACTATGATTTATTATGCAACGTATCACCGGTCACTTTACGGATCGTTATTTAATCGACGGTAGATGTGAAAGAACCGCCGAACGTTTTGCTTTCCTTGCTTACGGCAAATAGAGCTTTGAATTATGGTACGTGTAATGCTCACCTAATTGGCTTACAAGGCGGTGCAACTGAGTCTACTTAGCAACTTTACAGGCATAGGTGCGTTGTTACACTTACGGTATTAAGTAAGAGTCGGTCCGTCATGATAATGTGTGTATCGGCGGGTTGAGTGTGATTGAAATCAGTGCGTGACACGGCGTTACATGTCGTAACACGTCGTTACATGTCGTAACACATGGTTACATGTCGTAACACGTCGTTACATGTCGTAACACATGGTTACATGTCGTAACACGTCCTTACATGTCGTAACACATGGTTACATGTCGTTACACGGTGTTACATGTCGTAACAAGACATATGATGTCGTGGCCACGTCGTGACATGTCGTGAACACGGCGTAACGTGTCGTAACGTGTCGTAACACGGCGTTGCGTGTCTTATCTATGTGTATCATAATAATTGTCATGATCTACGTGTAGGTTACAAGACGAGCATGCCGCGTAAGAACTCGTCGTCGTCCTGTTCGTCGTCATCGTCCAACTCTAACGACAGCGTCGCCGTAAGTGTGTGTGTGTGTGTGTGTGTGTGTGTGTGTGTGTGTGTGTGTGTGTGTGTGTGTGTGNGAGAGAGAGAGAGACAGACAGAGAGAGAGAGATAAATAGATAGAGAGAGAGAGAGAGAGAGAGAGAGAGAGAGAGAGAGTGTGTGCGTGTGTGCGTGTGTATGTGCAAACACTTCTACTCCACCCAGGTACAGCTGCATCTGAATATTCTGAAAACACCTACAAATTTTCATTTCTTCGTTTATTAATTGCAATTATGCGTCTAATTATAAGTTTCCAAACATATAACACGTCTAGTAAGCACTATCCTTTGTTGGATGACCATATTTCTAAATGTCGGCACAATTCAGTGTCCCTCCATAGCAAGAATGCTATTGATTGAGATCCACTGGCGCTTTATCACCCTAACCCTAACCCTAACTAGGCGTAATGGGGTTCTCCTCGTACATTGCCAATCGTCAAGTATATAGAACTTGAGAAAGGCCGATATCGACTATCTAGTCTATGTCGTATTCAACGAATTTCGCGCTTAACACATGGGGCCGGAAATGAAATTCCGCACAGCATCTTGTCATCTGCTGCGATTGCTCTCTCCCCCACTCTCTCTCTCTCTCTCTCTCTCTCTCTCTCTCTCTCTCTCTCGCACACACTAGCTCCCTCTCTCCCTCTCTCGCACACCCTCTTTCCTCCCCCCTCTCTCTCTCCCTCGCTCTCTCTCACTCTCTCACACACACACACTCTCTCTCTCCCTTTCTCTCTCTCTCTCTCCCTCTCCCTTGCACACTCCTCTCTCACCTCTGCCATCTCTCTGTGAGTGTGAGTTATAAGCAGCACCGAATGGAGAGAGACATGGTGTGTGTGAGCGCGTCAGGGCGGTAACTACACACGCTAACACAGTTATAGTATGCGTGTGTGTGATGGCAAGCGTGATGATGACGACGCCGACGACGAAGATGATGACGATTACGACGACGGTGATGATGATGACGATCACAACAACGACGATGATGTTGATGACGATGATGATGATGATGACGATCACGACGACGGTGATGACGATGATAACGCCGACGACGACGACGACGATGTCTCAGCTCAGCTCGTCCCCTCCCTGCAGGAGATCTCGCAGCAGTGGGAGACGTCGGCTGAGGACCTGAAGGCGGAGCTGGAGGCCGAGCTGCGGCTAGATAGCAACGACATCCGCAGTCACGCGTGGTATCACGGCAAGATCACGCGCCAGCGTGCAGAGTGCCTCGTCGCTCACGACGGTGACTTCCTCATCAGAGACTGCATATCGCAGCCCGGTGAGTGCATATATATATATATATATATATATATATATATATATCAGGAGTAGTAATAGGGAATGAGTGTGACTTCAATAAACAAGGGAACATTCGTCATTTTTCTAGCCTTATATAATACTTACGATTTACCAGGTACTCATCCATTTTAGTCTTAAATCGTTACACAGTCACATTCGCCCTTAGCATCGTGCCGAAATCGTTTTCCTCGTATTACACCAGGCAATCCGGAGATACGGATCTAAAACGTCGACACGATTATGCATTCTTTAGGCCATCACTCGAACGTATTCCCCGCTCCGACACTCCCTTGCCAAATCAAAAGCAGCTCACTAACGCACTACCCGAATGTCCGAGTTTATCGATTTTCACACTCCTTCCTTATTTATCTACTCCTGCATATATATTGATTAAATAGGCATAAATAGATAGATAGATGGAGAGCGAGATTAGATAGCATACATACATATATTAGATAGATGCATTCAGATAGATAGATAGATAGATAGTATAGATATTATAGATAGATAGATAGCATAGATAGATATAGATAGAGTTAGATAGATAGATAAGATAGATAGTATAGATGTGTTAGGATAGGTTAGGCTAGAATAGATGACAGATAGTAGATAGATTAGATAGATTAGATAGATAGATAGATAGATAGATAGATAGATAGATAGATAGATAGATAGATTATGATAGATTTAGTTTGGATAGATAGATAGATAGACAGACAGACAGACAGACAGACAGACAGACAGACAGACAGACAGACAGACAGACAGATAGATAGTATGCAGTATACTATCGTAAATAGTAAGTATAGCATACCTACGTGTGTCCTCACCCTTCATACTAGAATGACAGCTTTCGCGTGGAAGATGGGCGAAAGATTATATCGCTGGAGGATGAATTCTCTCTCATCCGGGATTGAGAGAGAACCGCAGGGAGTTCGAAATATTAACTTAATCATGAAGCAGCCAATTATGAAACTGCCTAATTAGTCACTTCGTTATCTAACGCAATAGAGGAAGCTGCATTTTAAATACCCTGCCGAAGGGCAGACGCGAGATTACGATGATGATGATGTTTAGTGATACATTGACGATGATGATGATGTTTAGCGATACATTGACGATGATGATGATGTTTAGCGATACATTGACGATGATGATGGTGTTTAGCGATACATTGACGATGATGATGATGTTTAGCAATACATTGACGATGATGATGATGTTTAGCGATACATTGATGATGATGATGATGTTTAGCGATACATTGACGATGATGATGAGGTTTAGCGATAGATTGACGATGATGATAATGCTTAGCGATACATTGACGATGATGATGGTGTTTAGCAATACATTGACGATGATGATGG